GTGATATAGGCCGAGAAGCACGATTCTTGCTCGGCGAAGCGGCGCTAGCCACTTGAACACAAGGCAAGAAAGGAGCGAGAGGTGAAAGTAAACAATAATAAAAAAGAAACAAATCCCATGAAGACCTCCTTAGGCCATTTTCTGACATGAAGGGCAGGAAGCAGAGGTGAAAGCATGGCGCGGTAGGTAGGTCTAAAATGCGCCATTGCTTCGTTTGACTGGAATTCAACCTGGATCCTGAGATGAGCTGGGCGCTCAAGTAATGCAGTACAGCCGAATCACCTACCGCAGCACAGAGCCTTCATCAACTTCTGCGTGAAAGTGGGCGGCGATTCAGGGGTACCTGGGGCACCAAGGGGCTGTTGGCTACTCAGCGCCGGGTTCCCTGGACTTCCGTTGCGACCGGGAAGGTGGGCATTGGAGTTTTGAAACTGGGCCTGGGTTGACGCGGCTGGAGTCGATGCTTCCAGCCCTGCGCTTTGGCGTTTGGCGGCCACACCGCTGACGTTTGGGCGCTCGCGAGTCTTCCCAGCTCCAGCCTTGGCGGCCGGTGAAGGAGGCGGGGGCTGCGCGGCGTTTAAACGGTCGGCTGTCACACCGGGACGTTGGCTGTTGCGGAGTTCTCTCGTATGCAGGTCGCGACCGGACGAGCTCTGGTGCTGATTGTGGAGATGTGCCTGAGATGAGTAGGACTTGTAGTCCCAGCCCCGTCCGTTGTGGAGCTTCATCCAGTCGTACTCTCCATCCTCCACCTCGCCGGCGTTTTTGAGAGCTTGTGTCAAGATATCGCGGAGATAATCATAGTCAGGAGTGTCCTCGAAACCGAGGTTGCGAACGTAGCTCAGGTACTTGTTGAATTCTTCTGACGGAGTGATTAGCAGATGAATATAGGCATGGACAGGAGTGAGATAAACATACCTGGATAACTATCGCAGAGGTCCTTGATTGCCGTCGTTTGCTTCTTCTCGCCAATCTTCTCGTATTTTTGCTTGTTGGTAGCAGCCTTCAGGCCCTGCCAGGGAAGGCCACCCCTCAAGAAGTACATGAAGACATGACCGAGAGCTTCTAGGTCATCACGCCGAGATTGCTCACGGCCCAGATGTGTGTTGATACTCATGTAACGAGCAGTGCCAGACAAGGATTTACGCTCGCGGTAAGGGATGTGTTGCTTAGTTTTAGGATCGCGGTATTGCTTGGCCATACCGAAATCAACCACGTGGATAACGTTGGCAGCCTTGGTTGATGGGCGGCCAATAAGGAAGTTGTCTGGCTTGATATCACGGTAGATGAGGTTCTTCTCGTGAATCGTTTGGACGCGCGAAAGCTAGTCACAGTTAGCCATAGTTCTTGTAATTTCAAGCAGGGAAAACGCACCATCTGCTTGGCTACCATCACAACAGTCTTCGTGGAGAAACGGCGGTTGCAGTGATCAAAGAGATCCTCCAGAGAAGGACCGAGAAGATCGATAACGAGGATGTTGTGCAGACCCTCCTGTCCGAAATAGTAGACATTGGGGATGCCGGCTGAAATGAAGTTAGGAGAGCGCACATCAAATCTCCCTAGATCCAGAGAACTTACGACATCCAACCAGAATCTTGTATGTCCGGTACTCATCGCGGAGTTGAGGTGCATCGCTTTTCCGGGGTTCCTGAGGTCGGGTCAGCCAGGGGCTCGCCGTGAAGGGGAAGGGGAACGTACGAATTTGATGGCGACCTGCTGGTTGTTCAGGAGGTTGGTGCCCTCAAAAATGACACCAAAGGATCCTTCACCGATCTTCTTGCCCACACGGTAGTGGACACCCACAACATTTGACGACGAGGAGGCCATGGATACGGGAGTAAATATTGCAACCCGGGGAAAGGAAACCTTGGATCACGGGGAATGGCTTCAGGGACGTAGACACGTGATTGGGACTATCACTGGGCGCAGTCAGCACACACTCAGGCAAGGATGAAAGCGACATCAAAGAGTCCTGGCACATACATCACAGTGACCTCTATTTTTTTCAGACTGAAGCAGCTCTAACAGGCTCAATGGGATCTATTTATCCAATTGCCGATGTACCGGTGACGATGATAGGAGACAGGGTAGACGGAATGCACAGTCGGGACAAGAACAAAGGGGCGTAGGGAGGTATAAAGCCGAAACAACCAAATGCAGGCGGAATTGGCAGTGCTGAGCAAGAATTAAGACGTTCGTGGGTCCTTTTGACGGTCGGGAGTGACGGGCTGGGGTTGAAGCCGGGAGGTTCTAGACAAGCCAATGAAAAGGGTGAAAAAGGGGAAAACAAAACAGAGAGGGTACTTCGACCTACTGCGAGTACGAGCCGCACTGAGCAGTGGTTCAAAGATAGACCAGAGGAAGAAGGGGGAGATGGAGAAGGAGAAAGGGAAGCAACAGGGAGAGACAGGGAGCGGAGGGTATTGGGTGTGTATTGGTAAAAGACGTTCTTGGGGGTGAGCGCAGGAACTGGCGGTCACGATTGTACAGCGAGTGTACGGTAATTTTTTGGAATTGGGAAATCTCTTGAGACCTATGAGAGGCTATCGTCTCCATTGTTCTAATATACCTACTCTCTCATATTAAAAGGCTTTCCCTTATTCAATAAATCCGGAGACCGAGGAAAGCCACCAAATTGGCTTTTGAATATTGTCTAACTCCCTAGCTCTCAGACTTGGGCGCTTCCGGGGCGGCTCAACTTCCAGGGCTGCATTAAGGAACCGAAAATATCAGGAAAAATATCTGCTACATCCATAGCAGATGTTCTTTGAAAGAAAGAAATCAGAGCCTGAACATAGCGCATAGAGCATAGAGTCTATTCGAATTTTTTTTTTCTTTCAGGGGATTTCCCGTCTGGAATCGGTCTGGAATGCGGTTAAGGTAATATTACCGTCTTGGCAGGAACCCAGTTGACTCTATAAAGTATATTGTACGAAGTACATTCATATATGTCTAGTCTTAGATATGACATGTCTAGATGGCCTATAGTTACAAATCGCATTTATCTAATAGCATCGTTACATTATAGCAGATATCGTGACAAGCGCCTCTGTGCATCTTATTGGGCCTTGGGAATGTCCTCAGCTTCGCTTCCAAGTTCGTTCTCAACCAGACCCATGTCTTCATCACTATCCTGGCCGGCATCCTCATCATCTTCGTCCTCATCGTCATCCTCTTCACTACTGGACCCGCTGCCTTCACTATCGTCACTGTCGGGGTTGTAGTCTTCTTCCTCTTCATCCTCTTGGTCTTCAAGCTCCCGCTGTGCTTTCTGGAGCTCACTTGCGTCTTCACCGGCTGCCTCGGCGGCGGGTGCCGCTGCGTCCTCTCCGCCGGCTTTGTTGACATTGTAGACCTTGGCACGCCGTGCCTCTGCGAGACTAGCATCTTGGAGACCATGTCTTTTGATGTAAGTATCGATCCCCGAGAAATTATCCTGGTCAATCATCGAAAATTCGAATTCCTGGATGTCTTCTTCGGACCCATTCGCCGGGCGAGCCATGACATTGAGATTGAATGTCCGCTGGAGGACGGATGTATACGAGACAGAGTCAACGGTAGCAAATGAAAAGAACAGAAGCGGTTTCTTAAACGCAAATAATATACCCGTAGAGAGAAGGAACAGATACCCTGGTGTAAGTCAAAGCATGTTAGACTGATCAGGACTAAAACCGAAACCATAACGGCTTCCGGTTAAATTGAGATAGGGACATAACATACCTTCTTTGCTACCGCGGAATGCCTTGACATGATATGCTTTCTCGCCCTTTCGGTGCGCCTCGGGCATAGCACTGACAAACTGTTTATCATCAGGGCGCACAACATTGGTGTGAGGCATGTTCTCATTCAGAATTTTGCGAATAAATACCTCGGCCGATTCACCAGGACCATGGCCAAGCTGCTCCCCGTTTCCTGAGAATGCAGCCTTGGCGGGTCCATCAGCTATAGTAAACACCATAGCTTCGGAGGCTGCTGTTCCCTCGGGCGGAGGTGTGATGCCATCGGCGTACTCGGGAATAATGCAAAAATTGAACTGTTTTTGTGTCTTCTCCGGCACAGGAAGACAGAGGGCATGTCCTAATTTAATAACAGGTCATATTAGCAACTCTTTTTTTTTTAAGAGAGAAAAAAATGTTTGTTTCCCCAGTGAAACTCACGAATCTTATCCATAGAAACACCGAATTCAATCTCTTTCGTAGCTTGATTCCTTGCCCGAAGATATTTATGCCCAGCAGTGATCTCGAGCGTAAGCTTCTTCCTCTGCGGCGTAGAGAACGAAACATCTTGAACATAAAACTGAACTGGCGCATTGCTATCTTTCAGGTTGACTGACGCCTGCGCAGTCTCCCCCGAGTCTCCATTTTGAAGCTTGCGCTTTTTAGCGGCAGGCCCATCAACGGCTGGGGGCCGCGAAGGGAGGGTAGTGTTGGCAGTCCTGGCCAGCAGGCTGGAGGTATATTTCGCAAGATCTTCGAGCAGAGGTTTATGTTGCGGTGTTGTGCCTAAACGATAAAACCGATTGGCGACGGTCAGCAGGAGGTCGACGGGTCATCGAATGGGGGTTTGGGTGCGCTGTTGGCTACGCACCGATCGCGTCGTAAACTCGCTTCTTCAGCAAGGGTTCCGTCGCAAATGCCTCCTCGATGGCGGCGATGGGCGCACCCGTAGAGTTAATTGAGGCAAATGCCATTTTTGTTGCGACTGCTTTGGTTCAAGAGAACAGCAGTGCAGGGAGATGCAGGTTAGTCGGAGAATTGGGCGATGAACGTAAGGGTGGACCCGAAGTATTCGCATTGACTGGAACCCTAACTTGGGATTATGACGGAGTACGGAGTACGCATATCTTCTCTATAAATGCTAAAGATACAAATCCAAAATAACTTTATCGAGAAATAGATATATGAGTGAATGCAAAGCTCCATACTAGAATACAGTGGTGTGTGTACACAATGCTACAGGAAAAAAAAACCCCTCTCTTGACTTCCATCTTCTTCGCCCAATCAAGCAGCCTGCTTGGACTTTGACTTCTTGGACTTTGTGGGCTGCTTGGGCTTCTGGAGAAGCCGTTCGTTTCGGATGTGTTCGTTAATGAAGTTGATGGCACCCGGTGTCAATATCCCATTCCCGTTGGCGTCCACTTTTGCCTTCCTCGCTTCCGCAATTTGAGCAATCTTCAAGTTTTTGGCATCTGTCTTCGGTGTCATCATGGAGACAGTCTTTCTGTATTCATTGCGAAGGTCCTCCTTCATCTTCTCTCTCAGGTATTCCGGATCGTGTCGAGTGCGGAACCTGGAGTATTTGTTGCGCAGCTCATCAATGACGGTTGAGGGCATAGGTGGCTCCTCTAGTGTGGGGGTGAATGTGCTGATCTCAACTGCCATTCGTGTTGTGTCCATGTCACCGTCGGTGATGGTAGGCTCTTCCTCCATTGGCCAAGGGATTTCGACGTCCAAGCCAGAGACATAGCGAGTGAATGCTGGGAGCTTGCTGTGTTCAGGTCGCTGGAAGTACGGCCCGGCAGCATAAGCATGCTGCACAATGACGTTCTGCAACTTTCCAGTCTTTGTGTCTTCCAGCGGGATGACGTGTCGGATGTCGTCGAAGGACACGGGGAAGGACTGTGGTTGGGTATCACCCGAGTGTCCCAATCTGTCTTTGGCCCATCCAGGAATGATCACATCGGCCTAATTGAGAAAAATCAGTGAGCGATTTGTTTTCGTAACTAAGAGGTCATTGACCTAGACGACTGATCCGCCGGAAACATACCATATTGATACCCTTGATAAGGACAGTCTCACTGTCCCGGTTGATCTGTTGGATCACATTGATCTTTCCCTGGTCCCGTCCCCGTATAACACAGACCCGGTCACCTTCGGCAAAGAGAACATGCCTCCGTTGTTCGTGCTTAGGGAGGCGCGGCGGGTGCAAAACGGAAGCATCCTGACCACCATATGTAGTGCGGCTCAGACCAGAGTCTCGCATGGGGGCAAGAGGCCCCTTTTCCCAATCCTCCCAGCGGTTCTTTCGTGCTGCTTGGAATTGAGTAGACAGTGCGCCGCCGAAGTCCTTCCGCGCCCGCCGAATCCCAACACGGTCCAACAATTCTTGTCGTTCATGAGCTTTGGTGGTTTTTCTGAGAGCCTGCTTCCGGGCTGAAGCTGTCCGCTGGATAACTCTCTGCATATTGGGCGTTGTGTCCAGCAATGGCCGAACGTTGTTTCTGCCTTAGAATCCCCGATTCGCGGATCGAAAATTGAGGGTGTCCGATGGGCCACGTGATCAGCGTCAATATCTATTATGTCAGCACCAGCCGCCCGACCCCTGGGTCCACCCGTATAAACATTCAAGTATACCGAGACCAATACTCATCCTGCATGGTAACTATACGCTATTGGTGATCAAACGACACTTTTTACTATCTCCCTTGGAATTCAGTTATAGGTAACTCCCTCTATTTGCAAAAAGAAGATATTTCCCACGGAAAAATGACAATGAAGGCCGGGAACGATCCAAAGGCTTCAATGCCAACAAATACAAATAAAGCCGATCTCAATAGAACTCAGAGTCTATGGATGCATTCCTGTATAAATAGCTCCCCGTCACAGCTCACTAGGTACTCAATTCCAGCGCCATAGCCCACATAGAAGCCGTATCGAGGTGAAACGGATATCAAAAAAGAATATCCGGGTAACACCATGATGAAAGGTATATATCCACGGGTTCGGAGATCACCGATGGCTGTTAAACAGTGCCACTGGGGGATGCGTAGAGCCATATACATTCGGGTCTTTCTGATTCCCCATACAGATGCATATATGCAAAATTATGTGCGTGCCGGTCATTTCCCAGCAGAGCTCATTTGGTTCTGCATGCCGATCAGAGGAACTCACATGTCTGCAACGATCTTCGGAGAACGAAGAAGCACAGCATGAATTGTGAGACGCGCATCCACACCGATGCCACGTAGTTCGAGATCATTGCTGGATATGGCTTCATCATGGGGCTCTGGCAGACCATAGAAGAGAGGCACCGGCATGGGATCGTAGCCTAGGAGTAATATCACGTAAAGTTTAAAGGATGGCTATAGGAGGCCAATGACGTGCGGAAGGCGAGCGAACAACCCCAATATTGACATTCCGATTCTTGTTGGGCGCAACAGAAGCCGGGTAAACAGTAGACACCGTAGTACTTTCCGTAGAAATTAGTATATTGTGCCATAAGCATGCATACATGTAGTTAAGGTCCGCGGGTATCTCAGAATGATGAGTGGTCTCGAGTGGCAGGGGAAATTCACTCATACCGGATGCTCGTATTGTATATGGCAGTGTCTTCGAGATGAATGATCGAGATGTGGAGCGGGATTGAAAAGTCCTTTTTGTGAGCCGCATTCGCTTATGCATGTTTTGCTCTTGATTCACTTGTCCCTAATATCTGGCCGTGTTTCATTCAAGCTTGGCATTATTCAAAACCAAGAAAATCTGGCATGGACTTGCATTTGTATATTAGATCGATCGTCAAGTCCACTGCCACGCCCATCTAAATTGTGACAATGAACCATTTTTAGCGGCGAATGAATAAACACCTATCATTTCTAAAAATGTGTAGATTCTGTTGGTGTTGAACCATTGAAATGCTCAAGCGCGCACATTGACCTCGAAAGGTTAATGCTCTCCTTTTTTTGGTTTATAAGAAACGACTTAACGGCTTGTGGCTTGTGGGCGCAAGCTCCACGATTTGGCCCCTGTTTACTATTTTTAGCCGGGACAACGCGATCATTGGAGCTGAAAATATATCAGCTCCACTTTCAAACAACAGCTTCAAGAATGTGATCATGTAAGCTCGGAAGCAAGCAAAGGGGTAACGTTGAATGAAAAATAAAAAAATTCCATGGTTTGATTACCCGGGTTGACGACATATTCAAGTCAGCTGTGACATGAATATGGTAGCAAATGAGACGGGGTTTGCCAGCACATAGCATAAGATTGGACACCTCCAGCTATACGGGAGTTAGTACATGCCGAGAGCTCCCGGGAGCGCCAGAAGGAACTGAGATGTAGGGAACCAGCGGAGTGATCTTCACTGGCCGAGTCAAGCATTCTGGGTAAAGATTATCAGTGTAGCCGTAGGGGCAGCCGCGTAGGAGCACTGCCTGTAGAAGCTCGCGCATCCCGGTAGGGTGGTACATTGTACATCCAATTCGAGGACGTGGAGTTAAGAAATTGTAGCCCTTTATCTTTGCGGTGAATGCTGGATAGGTAACTTTGGTTTTCCCCATAAATGTAGGTTTTAAGTGAATGGACTTTTGATTTTCAAGCCCTCAAAGAGAACCATCGAAGCCAAAAATCCAGATTGAAATCCGGGGCAGATAGAATCCTACTAACCTTGGAAGTAGGACTCGTATTACATGCCCAGCTCATCTCGGATGTAATAAACTTCATAGCCACGAGTGGCTGTGCTGAGCAAAAGAGCGACAAAGTGGGCCGGGTGATGTGGATGGGTTTTTTTTTCGGGCCTCAGCCACACATACCTAGGGCTGTGTACAATTTTTTGTCTTTTTCTTCTCAAAGGGGGAGGGAGGTATAAGCCACAGTAAAATAAGGCAGCCTGAAACTCAGGGGGGTATCATGTTGTAGAGTGGCATACTATGTAGTAAAGATGTAATGTAATTATGTATACCAATACCAAAAAACTGTACGTATGTACCTTTTTTAAGGCACGCAGGTTGATACCTCTTGACCTCCGGACTCCTCCAGGGGGAAACTTGGAAGCCACAATACCGGTACACTGGCAACAACAAATACCGTATACTGCCACCGCCCTCTGTTGTCTGGCCTGGTCTTCTATCTTTCTCTCCTCCACCTCCAAATCATCATTCCATCGCCTTTTTTTCATCGCTTCCCATCGGAAATACCTACTTCATCTTCCTCATTTCTCTAGAGCTATTGCTGCTTGCACTAGCTGATTTACTGCATTAAATCTACTACACCGTTGCGCCTTTGAACACTGTATGGGATCACCCTTTTCCTTTCCCCCCCTCCTCGGGAGCGCCTGACTTGGCCCTTTCTTCTTGATCGCCTATGTCACATCCTCCGTGCCTGTAGAAACTCTTCATATTTGAAACTCTAGGGGTTGCGGGGCTCCGTGGTCCATTCCTGCTTATTTGCCCCTATACTGACGTGTTCCTTATCAAAGATGGCCGAGATCCGTCGCAAGCTCGTCATCGTTGGCGATGGTGCCTGCGGTAAGACCTGTTTGCTCATGTGAGTATTGAAAGTGGCTCACTTATCGAGGGCGCTTCCCCCAAACTCTACTTTTTGTTTCGGCGGTCTGACTGAAGTTCACAGTGTTTTCTCAAAGGGTACCTTCCCCGAGGTAAGCTGCTATCCATCCTCGAAACTACGATTCCGGAAACGACGTCACTTTACCCAGAAATATACGCCGGAGAAGAATAATGAAGGATAATCTGACTTTGTTTCCGTCAGGTCTACGTCCCCACAGTCTTCGAGAACTACGTCGCCGATGTCGAGGTTGATAACAAGCACGTCGAGCTCGCTCTTTGGGATACTGCTGGCCAGGAAGATTACGACCGTCTCCGTCCTCTCTCATACCCCGACTCACATGTGATCCTGATCTGTTTCGCCGTGGACTCACCCGATTCGCTCGACAACGTCCAGGAGAAGGTGGGTGTCTCATCTCTAATCGATCGCACATCCCGAAGCAAATAAATGTTTGGGTGCGAACTGGACTGAATATGCTGACGTACTACAATAGTGGATCTCCGAGGTTCTGCACTTCTGCCAGGGTCTCCCTATTATCCTCGTCGGCTGCAAGAAGGATCTTCGCGACGACCGCAAGACTATTGATGAACTTGCCAAGACCTCCCAGCGCCCCGTCTCCCAGGAGCAGGTACGATTTTTCGACCCCATGATGAATCCATTATAAACTAATGTATGACTGCAGGGTGAGGAAGTCCGCAAGAAGATCGGCGCCTACAAGTACCTCGAGTGCTCGGCTCGCACCAACGAGGGTGTGCGTGAAGTCTTCGAGGCTGCCACTCGTGCTGCTCTGCTGAAGGCCGTTAAGGGCAAGGGAAGCCGCAAGAGCAAGGGCATTTGCCTGATTCTCTAAACGAACCAATTGTTGAGGTGGTCTGGCTCAAGAGATCATATGTATGAGAGCCTCCACGAAGAACAACTGGTGACGTTATTCTCGGAAAGGAGGAGGGCTTCATGGCCTGCATGCGAAATTGTGGATAATATCGAATCCGGGCACCCGAGTCGTGGAGGGTTTCCCCCCACAATTCAGTTGGTCGACCTTGTGTTTTTCTTTTGCCTTTATTTGCAGAATTTGTCTAGGGAGGCGTTGTCTTCATCATAACCCTGTGGGCTTTTCTTTTTCTTTTCCTCTCCTCGTTCCAACGCCCTGAATTTTCAAATGCCAAACCGCATGGAGGTGGCAACTATAAACCAACCGAAAAGCACCGAAAAAAAGAACCCAGAATTGGAACATCCAGGAGATGAAGAGGAAAAGCCATTCAGTGTAGCACCGGTTGTGCAATTTGGTCAACGCCGTGACTCGTCTTCCCTGGTCGAGTTCCCCCTGTGTCATAGATTCTTGTCCCCTGCGGTTATCTCCCCATACGCGAAGAGCTTGATTCGGCTTTTATTGTTTTCTCTCCCTCCTTTACTACATTTGTTTTTATGTTACAGCTTATGCATGGTACTGTCTATTTCCATATAATATATGGGCCTCACGCGTAGTCCTATAGTCTGCGTAAATGTCCGTAAGGCTGTAAATATTTCATTGCTTTCAACCACTAGAGTATTAAAATTTCATATATCCATGTTCAACGTGGTTTATGGTGGCAAATTTATATACTCATTTCTGTAGACATAGAAAAAACCCCACAACTTCACACTCCACTCCACCAGGCCCCATCTCAACTATCGATTCAAGCTCAGTAGGCCCTCAATATAACGCCTAGCGTCCATGCCAAGCCCCTCAACCAGTTTTGACGGCGCCATATCCGCAGCACGGGACCCCGTCAATCCAGCGGATGAAGACGCACCGCCTAGATCACGGAAGAAGCGAGCGCCACTGCTGACACGGCCATGGTTTGCCGGGGATATGTAGTCACTCGCTTTGCGGACGAGGAAGGCCTCCTGGGGCGGGGGAGCAGGAGCTTGGGACTGACTTGGGGGAAGGAGTCATTATTGGTTATGGATGAGAGGGCAGCGGATGAAGAAGTGGTGGATAGCGCGGTTGGGGTTTGGGTTGTGTTGTGTGGGATGCGGACCCAGACGACCCACCATCCGCGCTGGGTTTTGCTTGTGCGTTCGAGCTCTTGTGGGCGGGAGCGCGTGTCTGTGTGTGTTGATAGGAGGCGGTGGTGGATTGCTAGGCTTTCAACACGGGACCAAGGTGGTTGGGCTGACGATGGGGAGGGGAAGGGAGAGGGGGATGGGGAGCGGGCTGGTGAGTTTGTTGGTTGGGTGGAGGATGAAGTGGTGCTCATGCTGGGGATGTTGGGGATGGAGGAGCGGATGGTTAGATTAGATGGGTCATAGACTAGGTCGTAAACTGGCTGGGTTCGAGTAGAGAAACGTTTATTGGGATCTGGGGAGGTATCAGACATGGCGATTCGGGAGGCTGCCGCTGTTGGGGATGTTGATGACAGAAGCGGTTTCTGGAGAGGACCAAGTTGGTGGTGCATGCTTGAGTATAGTGACGGGTATGACAATGCTGGTGTTTGAGGATCAATGAGGAATGTAAACATGAATGGTTGATGCTGGAATGGTGTATTAGTGAGTTGATTTGCATGGAATAATAAGAAAAGGACATACCACATATATCACAACTTGGAGCTTTGTCGGAGTAGTATCTGACCCATCTGCCAGGTGGACATGTAGAGTTCTATGCACTATCCGAGTCTTGGGTTTGCCGTTCTCGGATTCAGGTTCTGGGCTTCTCTCTTCTAAAGCATCCAATTTTTCTAGATCATCACGAGGCCCAAGAACGAAATGGCCCGAAGGGCTGTTCCTCGTGCTGTTTCGATGTTTTACGCCGACCTGAGGCGATTGTACAGCACCGGTGGGCTGATTTTTCGGGGTTGAGACGTTTGAATTGGATTCATCTCTCATTGGGGTGGAACTTTCAGACGGCGTAGATGTCGACTTTGGAGAGAAACCCCAAGAGGAACCATATCCTAGAGTGAGGTACTTCATGACCGCCTCTGTTGGAAATCCTGGAAGCTCGCTTTTTTGCTCCGTCCGAAGTGGTGATGCCTCATTTCTTGTTCCTGCTCGATTCTCCTCAACGACTTCTGGAACTGGCTGCGGTGCTGCCGTTATGAGCGGACGAGGTATACCTGGCTTAAAATCGCGATCTGGTGTGGAAGGCTGAGGGGCATCTTCTGAAATTTGCCTTCCGCGCTGCTTTCGTGGTTTACGGCGATGCAACGAGGTTGGGTCCCGCCCAACTCCATACGCAGCATCTCCAAAACGATAAATGCATTGCATCCAATGTGATACTTGCGCCAATGAGTGCCGAGAAAGAGCACCAACACCAGTAAATACCACACCATCGGATGGTCGAGGATCATTATCTGCCCCAAGCCATCGGTTTTGGTCATTTGACCCTGCTAAAGCGGGAGGCCCCTCTAACTGTGGGGACGGATCACCAAACCTGGAGACAACCAAGTCCACCAATCCGTCGGTTCTTGTCACGAAGTCTTCAAGTACTTCTCTTTCCCCACTGCCCCACTCTTCCTCCCCGACGCCGATCCCCAACTCTCCTCCCGCAGAGAGTTTGATGCCATTATAGATATCGACAATTGGGTTTCCGGTCAACAGAAGTTCCCAATTCCACGCAAAGTTCTCCCAGAAACGTTCAAGGAACAGACAAAATGTGGATCTGCCGGCTTGACGGAGGATGTCGTCCAATTTGAAGTCATGGTGCAGGAGGAATTCCGAATGGGCGCGACGTAATTGCTGGATTAGGAGAGGCGGCGGTCCCATCTCTCGCGACGAATAATGAAATGTCGGAGAGTCGGATGCTCCAGAGGATTTCTGGACAGGATCGGCAGGAATTCGAGTCAGGTCGATAGACTGGCTTAACATAAGCTGTGTGATCTGTGCCGTTATCTCAACCACTTACGGCAACGATCCACCAGTTCTTCTCTAACTCAAGTAGAACGACCCGCGATTTTTCTGTTTCAACATATTCCAGTGTCTTTCCAGCCGAGAAGTTACTGCAGATCAAGCACGATTAGATTACTTCATTTGCGGGGTCTGCGGGGACGCCTACCTAGCAAAGTTGACTATGCCCTGCGCCAGACCTATCTGGCGCAATCTGTCGTTCTCTTCATCTTCAAGGCATTTATTTGCTTCGCCTTCTGCCGTGGAGCCATCGACGCGCCGTGCATAGCTCGTTCTCGAAGTATAGAACACGATCTGGTCCGCTATCGTCTCGTCGGTAGGTCCGAGGGTCGGGTTGTAGATGGCAAGATATGAAAGTTGGGCTGGGATCACTGAATCATGATCGCTTTCAGACATTGCATCGTTGGATGGCGTCTGCAGGTCGTACCAGACAGGCAACAGCAGTAATGGTTGAAAGATAGATGCATCCGAAGTGGGATCCGGGGTGGATGTTGACATCACGTGGTTTATCGATAAGCTACTATGGAAGCTTCAACTTTCTCCTTGTCAACTTCTGGCACTTATTCACCAGAATCATGTGGATTATTCCAGGTCCAGGGAGCCTACGCCTTTGTAAGAGGCCGTCGGTCCTTCGAGGGCTTGTCTTCAGGTCATATGCTACCAAGACTTCCGATCCGCTCCGCATTCTCTTTTGCGGCTCTGATGAATTCAGTATCGCCCACTTGAAAGCTCTCCATGCTTATCATTTGAAACAGCCGGAGCGTATTTGCTCTATTGATGTCGTGTGTAGACCCGGAAAGAGGGTTGGGAGAGGACTGAAGCAAATTCGGGAAGGTTAGCTTCACTTTAATACGCTTCCTTGAATGGCTGCGTTTTCTAATTCAATTCCTCAGTTCCGCTTAAAGCAGCCGCATCTGCTCTCTCCCTTCCGATCCATGAGATTGATACTTTCACTGGATGGACGGTAATGCCAAACCTCAATCCAATTGGTATTTTCGCTGACTGTGTTAGCCGCCGACCTCCCCGAACGGTCACATAAACTTGGTGATTGCCGTATCATTCGGACTTTTTGTTCCGCCGCGCATATTGAATGGTGCCAAGTATGGAGGCTTGAATGTACATCCTTCGTTACTACCAAAGTATGTGATTATCATATGTTCAGGATCGAAGAGCAAGATAATTGACTTAATTGATTAGCTTCCGTGGCCCTGCACCGCTTCATCATACTCTTCTCGCTGGTCACACCACCACTGGTGTGACGGTCCAGACCTTGCATTCAAAACACTTTGATCACGGAGCGATATTATTACAAACGCCGGCTCCCGGGTTCAACATCCCCAATCCAGAATCCTGCACTGTCCCCGAGTTGGTAGATTTCGTCGCACCTAAAGGAGCGCAAATGCTCGTGGAAAGTATAGAAAAGGGACTATACGTTCCTCCCATTGAAAATGCCGGGGCTGAACACACAGGAGAGTTGAGGCACGCCCCCAAAATCATACCAGAGGACCGACACATCAATTGGGCAAACTGGACCTTGGCAGATATCAACAGACGTAACCGAGTGATTGGACCTCTCTGGAGCAAAGCCCTCTGCGCAGGCAATCCTGCAGATGGACCTCTGTCATTCCAACAGAAACGAGTTATCCTTACAGATATCGAGGAGGTTGACCCGCCTAAGGGATGTGGTTCGTTCTCAATCGTCCCAGGTCTACCGTTTACAAATGCTCCCCACCCTGTCGAGCCAAAGAAGTCACGGCAACTATACGTTTTTACTGTCGATGGCAAAGTTCTGCGTATCAACCGGATGAAAGTGGAAGGCGAACAAGACGCAGAGGGTCTGCGAGCAGCTATCAAAGCTCGCATGTTCGGAGATCGGGCATTTCAATATGACGGTCGGGAACTGACTCCCTTCCGCAACTCTCTTGTATAAGTATGGTGGGGGTCTGTGTACTATAATCTCTGTTCTGACCATGTATAATTCCTTTTCCTCACTTCTAACAGATCGCGAAGCCAGAATCTAAAAAGTTGTCAGTTTCAACCCATCTGGCTGGAGCTAAGACTCATACCAATTTGAACCGTTTGACCGGTTATAGAAGCATTCTTGGCCAATGTAACAAACATGTCCGCACAGTCTTCCACCTCGGGCTGTAGCCGGGTTAATTAGCATACAAAGGTCCTTTCAAAGGTTGGGGAGAGTAGAATTGCTTACCACTCGCTTAAGAGTTGTCGCATTTGCCCAGCTCTCGATTTTCTCGGCGGGGAAGCGTTGACCCTGGGATATTCTCAGTATTCATCAATGACAGCGTCGACCATGTGCTACTTACCCATTCAGTGAGCAACAGACCAGGAAGAATAGCATTGACGCGAACTTTCGCGCCTTGGCTACTAGCAAGGCACTTCATGAGATGGATAGCTGAGCGATACAGGTCAGTAACTAACTAGAGTGATTCATAGGAATGATAACATACATGCCGCTTTCGAGACAGCATAAGGCAAGCTGCTGCCACTTGCCTTGACGCCCTATAAAAGTCACCGCAATCAGTATTTTGACTATTCCATGGTAAAGACGGTTCAAGGCCATTTGGCATGTTTTAGTGCTTACCGCAATCGAGGCTGTGATGAGGAAAACACCACCTTCAGGGTTCGCATTGAACGTGGGTAACGCTGCCTTAAACAGGTAGAAGCTGCTCTTGACATTAACCGACCAGCACTAGTTCAATAGTCAGTCAAACCAAAACTTCCATCACGGAGGGGGCTTTCGGTACCTTATCCCAGTCATCGTCGTCCATGGCATCAAGATCGGCGAAATTGGTCATTTTTGTCCATCCCTTCTTACATATGAGCACTCTGTATCCCTCTTGGGATTGACGGTATAACTCACGGCATTAGAGATAATAATATCCAAGCCACCCAGCTTCTCGATTGTGCTTTTCACGGCGTTGATACAGTCATCTTTGACTCCGGCGTCCTGTTTCCAGATGCGAGATCATGTCAGTGAGTCGATTTTAGATTGGATTCGGGTGTCTTACGCCTTGGATAACCACTGCCTTTACACCATATTTGCTTGCAATGTCCGAGGCAAGGTTATCTGCAGCCTCCTTGTTGGACATATAGTTGATAGCAACATTACTTCCCTCAGATGCAAATTTCTCAGCTGAAAGAGCACCTAGCCCTCTGTTAAATGAGATTAGCTTCTCGAACAGAGCAATTCTCCAATTGAAGGAGGTTCCTACCGAGAGCCACCGGTGATCAAAACATTGCGACCCGACAAAGAGTAGGGCATGATAGGTAGAATTAAGCTGTGTTCATGAGACCAATAATTGCTTTAGAGAGAAGCGAGAGACAAAAGATTGAAATAAAAGGCCGAAGTGCCGAGGGATATGTCCGATGCGGGGTAGGGTCAACGTACTCCATATCTGATTGACATTTGATATTTGATAGGTTGAGCTTTGGAGAATCAGTGGAAGAGAAGAAGGCGGATTTAGGGCTATTCCAGCATAGACAACCACTTACATAGTCTTGGCCACTTTCCCTCTTTTCTCGGTGGTTGATGGACGATATTAGGAAGCAAATTGCTTTTATATAACACACTAGCTACCTATGGCCTATCTAGGTACATAGGTCAACACATTGATTCCAGGTACACGGACATCCTACATATGTACTTTGGCCTTGAGTCGTCTAGGTGGGAAAAGAAACCGAGCTGATAGTCTTCATATCTCGGTGATGATCAGGGTCTTCAAGCGGGCTACTGTAAGTAGCTTTTAGTGGCCCCATATCTTACACAACTATAAATACGATCCACATACTCCGTATAAAAGAGAAACTCGGAACCGGCCCTCTTATTTAGTGATTAGCTATTCGATGGTGAATACGAGCGCGGCTCGGTTTGAGCCCTTGGCACCTTGGCATTGGGGGCTTTTACGGTATAGATCCCCTATTATTCTCTTATAATAAGCCACAAAGCAGATGGTCAGTCCCTTTACAAAGTCTATGCACAACTTTATAAGTTTCTGTCATTTTCACATCATGTCCCTCTCTACTATTTCTTCTACTTACACTATGCGGGACAAATAACATGACCTGACGAACCAATACCCCGAATGAGAACTTGAACAACATAGAAATGTTCTTCCAACGAACGTTCTTAGGAGCCCTTCTCCTTCTTGCCATCCCAAGAGGGGTGCTATCACGCCGAGGCCACGACAGCGATATCGACAGTGACACTTCCAGCTCCAGCGACTCCACCAGCGACACCTCCAGCTCCAGCGACGATACAACCACCTCAACATCCTCAGGTAGTGGATATACCTGTCCAGGACCGCCCGAGCTAGATTATTACCTCATCGGACCAACTCACTACCAGACATACCAAGATACGTTCGAAGCCAGCGACTATGACGGAGTCTATTATATAGGCGAAGCAACCTTTAACTACAAGCTCGACGTACCACCCGTACCAACAACCACCTACTTCGTCTACACTCCTAAAGCGACATGTCCGGCTGGTTGGCAGTCTCTGCGGATGCGAGCCCTTGCATGGGTTGCGCCGAAGACGCCTGAACCCGCTGGACCAAAGAATCCCATTACCATCGCATTCCAGGCCTTGCCTAATGTCGCGGATTCGTACAGTAGATGCTCAAAGGTTGATCGTGTGGGCTTCAGTACGACGGTTGATTGGTCGAAGAGGAATACAACGGGCGATACTTCGTTCGAGGCGATAGACTCCGTGAAGTTGGATATTCGGCCTACGGCTGGAAATGATAATATGGTTGATTTTGATGGTGTTTATGATATTTCGGCTTGGAAGGACAGACCGAAGGACTTCAATGATCCGACTCTCTTTCAGCATGGCCAACTTCGGAGGGAGAGCTTAATTCTACCGGCGGGTACTTGCTCGGGTAGTAGTGGAAGGGAGAAACTTGACTTGGGATATCCTTCTGGGGCGATAATCAATGGGTCTTTGACTAATGAGACTATCCAGCTGAATGTTTCAGGGTTTGTGGTTGCGTGGTTTAGGGATGATAATGAGGAGCATGCGACGACGAATGTTACTTATAATATCGTGTTTACGGGTGCTTATGATGCTGCGAATTCTTCGCGACTTCTTGTTACTGGAGCGGCGAGCTCTAATGAGTCTCTTGTGAGCTTTCAGGCTCCGCCTGAAGGTTCAGGGACTGTCACCGGGGCTTCTTGGAAGTTGGCGGTGATTTCTTTGGTGGCTAGCATTGGGTTGGCGTTGGTGTGATTGATGTGGTTATATTGGACTGTTTGTATCTTACTATGTATGTAGCCTTCAAGTCATATGCAAGCTCTATATCTCATTACGGGAGCCTCCCCTCCATTCAAACTACATAGCGCCGATTTTAATGGTGGAATCACTTTCGGAAATAGAGATATGATTAGGGCTATTAAAAGATATGGGGCCGGGTTCTCCTTTGGGTATGTATGGATAGACTAAGAGTGAACTAAGTGCTCAATAATAGATACCTTCAATCGGTCTGTCACTGGGGTTGAAGACCTCACTGAGATTTACTTAGTGAGCTTGACTCTGTGGAGGAAATATGTAGTGTGACTTAGGTACTGTATGACATCAATGTATTCTACAACTATACCCACCATACCTGAAAAGTAGTCTACATAATTATTGGAACTTCTAGATTTGCATGCAATAGTCCAAGATCCCATAAGCTGTGACCGTAAATTATAGACTTTTTACATTGCAGAGCACGTCTAAATCTCTACATCAAGTGTGTATGGAGAGAGACTCAGTGCAGAACTAGATCCCACGTTGCTTGTCAATAGATTCATTTCTTACCTAAGTACCTACATGATGAGAACGTTTCTTCTTTTTTTTTTGGGATATCTGCAACAACAAGATCAAGCCGGTGTACATGCACGGCGCTTATATCACAAGCCATCCTGCATATTGGGTTTTCTTCATCCCCCACCAGGCCCGTCGGCCTGCCTGGGCAGGCCATTGAACGAGAAATCGGTCGGCCAGAGGCAACAGTAAAACACCAGAGGTACTGAGCGAGTTCACACGGGCCCACGATTCGATGTAAATAGTACGCAGCTTCGGTGCCGAAGCAAACGTGGAGATTGTTCGCAGACTCAGGCTTAAGGTAGTGCATTTGGCCAAGCATTGAATGAGACGGATGAGTTTTGCGCCTGCGACAACGCAGACTGCTGTAGCAGGACCATTTGTGAGGATCAAATCAGGGTAGGGTGAGCTGTATTCCTTTGGGAGCTTTTGATCCGGGTGAAGGCCACGAAGGACATTGAGACAAGCCCAGAAGCATTGAAGCGTAGAGAATGGCGCGGTGAGGTAGGATTGATGGACCCGTCGGGCACGTGGCACTGTGACAATGGTGTAGTTGTTATGAGTATAGCCCTGCAAATTCTGTACATGTTGTGCCTCAAAATCCTTGGCTTTGTCTGCGCTGAAGTTATCTCCGGAGCTCACGAGGTATGTCCGATACGTGTAGATTTGAGGGTCCAATTTCATGCGCTCGAGCATGTAGAGCATCTCAGCTGTATGGCCACCACTTCCAAGAACTACCAACAAATGGGCAGGAGATCCCCTTGGGCGACATTTGGAGGGAATGGTATTCTGGGAGATCGTGAGGGAGATGAGTAGAACCTAGGAGATGGACAAGTTAGATTGATTAAATGTCATGGGTAAGGGTACTCACGAGAAGAATGCTGGCCCCAAGTGTAATTGCCAGGGCAAAAGACCACAGGAGCAGGTCCCAGAAGGATAAAGAAGCAAGATAGAAGGGCATCTTGGACCGCTGTTGTCCAGTCTCAAGCGTTTTGTGAGACAACCCGAGGATTTTAGTGTATCATTATCATAAAGACTGAAGAACAATAGAAAGAGAACGAATAAAATGAATAGAATGAAAAAGAATGTCAATAACAATGGTAAGGCAATCAAGTGCAGTTCTGAGTGCAGATCGATAAAATTGGAGTCGCGGTACTCCATACACGTCCCCCGCACGTGCAAGCTCGACTAGTTTTATTTTCCCTTTGGCATCCGGAACCATCTCCCTTGTTTACATCAACGTTTTCACTTGCTTTTTTTTTCCCATGCTACTATGTCATGGCTTCTCTATTTTCTAAGCGTTTGACCTGCTTTTATTGCGGGAAGCGGTCCGCTCGCTCTCATCGCGGACTTGTTCGCAATTTCCACTGTGAACATTGTGAGGCTGATAACTTCTTCGACGAGGTAGGTTCATTTTTCCCTGGAACCTACTCGAATTATATTAACTGTCGTTCTCTATAAAGAAAGGAGAAATCACAGACCCACCATCTGTGGTCACTAACGCCGAAGTCTACGCGCCTGGCGCATCAGACTTGCCCTTCGAATCGACTGACTTCGGTGGATCCCAGGCATTTTGCGCCAAATGTACTCGGAATCAGCATTTATTCACAAGCTCACTGGCTTCCTACTTTCCTCCCTCAGACGATCCTACCGATGCCGAATACGAACGCGGGTATGAGCAGTTCCGCAGAAGTCTGGAGGACCGATACCCCCAAGTTTGCGAGTCGTGCGAGCCTATCGTGAAATCTCGCATCAGAAAAGCTGGCTACGAGGCGAAATCAGATCACCTCAGGCGCATGATGGATCAAAGTCGAGCAAACCGAGAATCACGACAGGCGAGGAACCGGAGCTGGAGAAGCTTGCTTCTCTTTGTGGGTGCAGTTGCATATTGGGCTAGTATTGCTGGTCAACTAGCGTGGAACTTGATCAGTGTAGCCACCCTCTCCCAGGTCTCGCAAGATTTCGATTATTTACCCGACACCGAACGACCTCCAATGACGTCCAACTCTGTGATCTCGTGCGTCGACCAGTCTATTCGTTTCAAGCGCATTCCCAGCCAATGTTCGCCTGATCTAGCACCAACTGCCGGTCTGGCATTGATCGCAGGTGCACTTTCGCTCTGGTGGAACCCAAAGCTCCGCATGAAGATAGACGGAATGCCCGGTAAATTCCGCGGTCTTGCAGAGTACTACGAAGCCCAACTCATCATCATGGTGGTACGATGTGTTTTCTGGGCAGTGGTCAAGGATCCGTCTGCCAGTGGGCTAGAACCCAAATTGATTCCGGCCTTCCATGCCTTGATGATCGTTTTCACTATTCTGGTAAGTATTGTCTTTCCCCTCGAACTTTCCATGCGCTAACCATAGTAGTCGGTTTTGTTCTCTCGATATGTTGTCAGCTACTCTAGTCGTCCACTTGTCAATTGGTCTGATAACAGCTGGGAAACCCAATTCGAATCTTCTCAGGCTTCTTCTTCTGCACTTCCTGAATCACCTGTGTCGACTCCCATCACAAGATCTGGCGGAACAGCAAAAGCGAACATTGGTGGATTACAACAGCGCTTTCCGATTGACAAATTGGCTCAGCCTCAATCACGGTCACCCATTGAACAGTCTCTTACGTTAACCTCCAACCTTACGGATAACGATGGCATGGACTGGTCCCCTTCTATTACTCATAACCTCCGACCGACTGTGACACGGCGAGATCAGCCGTCTGTGCTCGACGGTCCTCATCCATTTCAGGGGCAGATCCCAGCAGCCCCAATTCCTCCTGCGTGGAAGCTTCGCACTCAGACTTCGACAAAACCTATCGAGCAAGTGATTCAGCCTAATCCGTTCCACCGCAGTTCTGCGCAACCACAAGGCCAATGGCAACAAAGGCAGGTCGGTGCTGAACCTGTGTTCAAGGACCCAAAATTCTTTCCTCCTCGTGATCACGATACATCTACTGGGCTGGAAACACTGTTTGACCGTGCCTTTAATTTTCAGTCCGATTCTGCCCAAGGACCTGGCTGGTCTCAGCAGCCCCGGAACCAGGGCTCTACACATCTCGATGAGACGCAAAGTCATCTCTTTTATGGATGTCTACGACTAGGTCTGCTAGTCAGTTTCATCAGCGCCTGGACTATCTCTCAGAATCACCAGGTCTTGATCCCAGGAAATTACGTGGAGATCGCTGCCCTAGGTGCGGCAAGCCTTGTTGCGGGGTTTGCTTTGATCACCATGGTGAAAAGGCCTCTTATGCAATGGAATGGCATGGAGATTCTGATTTCTATCACCGAACTTGGCGTCGCTGTTCACATGGGGGCACATTTGCCCACAGTTTCGCTTAATCGGGACTACTTCGATCGCTACGGCAAACTGCTCCTGGTTTTCATGGCGGCACAGGAAACTATGAATGTATTCTCCTTCTACAATAAGGCCAGGTTAGAAAGCCGCCAGCACTCAGGATCTGTATCACCACAGCCGCAGCCACAATCCCCACACCAGAGCCAATCGGGTGCTCTTGACTGGCCCACAAGGCAATCTTCATCCATGTCTACACCTGAGCCTCGAGTCAGCAGTCCCCCTGTGCACCGATCATTTGAGTCACAACCATCTGCTCCTCCACTTTCATTTGGCGATACCGAAGCGGCCTCTAGTTTCTCTTCGGCATTACCTTCCGTGCCACAATATGGGCTCACCTCGTCTCAAACTGCCCAGTCGTTCCCCGCTGGCAATCAGAACGGTTTCAACCAAAACAGAAACCCACATAGTTTTACCATGGAATCTCTAAAGCAAATCGACCCCGTGTCTGATTATGAGCGAGACTCAGATACTGAAACTATAGCCACAACTACAACTGCCGCCACAAATTTCACTAACCGCAACATTCGGTATGGGAATAATGCAGGTCTGGGTTCCAACCCCTTTTACTCACCCCGGCGGACTGGTCTTGGATCAGGCATCGGTGGCTTGAGTTTGGATGATGATCCTACTCCCCGCCGCATGACTCGTAGCCAGACCCAGCATGGGCTGCTTGGTCGCCGTCCAACCAACTACGTCCGATGATTTTGTGTGTTTTCTTTCGCATTCATTTTCCCGTTCTTTTTCAAAGTTATCATTCTGTTTTTTGGGGTGTTATACCACCGGCCATTCTATGCCCCCTATCTGTTGCTGATCAGGTGGTTTTCTGTCAGTTCATTGACAAACCGAGCCCTATCGTGGCTTTCAGACTGGATGGGCCCTCATCACGGCGTTGATAGATTGACCCAGTCGGTCTCTTTCCTTTTTTTTTTTCTTTTGCTTTCGGTCTCCCGGTTTGATTCAAGCGAATGTCATGGGTTCATAGCGCAGGCGAATATTTCTTTGTTCTATATTGTCAGTTTTGGCGGCATTCCGAGGGGGACCGCTGTACATATCTTTCGAGAGGGTTGGACTACCCGGGTACTTTGATGATATCCATGAAATTACGATGACAGATGTGAATACTCTTTGAAACTAAAATATTGATTAAAATTTGATCGCTTCCAACATTGACATTCCACATAGACCTAAACTAGTAAAATGCTACTCGTTCACCCTCTCAACATGCACTTGGGACGCCTTGTCCCCTCTATCGCCAACAGAGGCTCGCTCCGCGTCGGCATTCTTATGCTCAAGCAGCTGCGTAACGCCGAAGAGCTCATCCATCTTCTCAAGGGACAAGCCTATGCAATCCACAGTCAGCAAAAAGACACCCTACTATCAGAGGACTCGACTCACCCTTTGTCTCTGGGATAAAGAACCACACAAAGACACACATCGAGAAACAGAAGCACGAGAAGATAAGATACGTTCTGCACCGCCCAAAGTCAGCAAACTCATAATACAAATCACCCACTAGCCAAACTCACCCATAACCATTAGCACCAACAGTAGCCAACATATTCGGCACAGCCCTGGCAACAACAAAGTTAAACAGCCACTGTGTAGCAGCCCCAAAAGAAACATTCAGTGAGCGCAGCCTGGCAGTCGGAATTTCGGAGACGTAAATCCAGCAGACGGGTCCCCAGCCGAATTGGAAGAATGCCGCAAACAAGAAAATGCACACCAGCGCAAAGTACCCGGCTGGGATGACGGGTGCGCCCTCAACTGGCGGCGCAATGCGCACGTAAAGTCCGATATACATCATTGCCAAGCCCTGCGCGATGGAGGTCCATAGGAGCGAGCGACGTCGGCCTAGCGAGTCCGCTACGAAGATCAGGAACACGCCACAGCTGACCATCTTTACGATTCCGTAGACGCCAGTTGCGAAGAGGTTGGTTGCGTTGCCGGTTACGCCAAGCTAGAGATGAGTGTAGTTAGCATCTGATTATGATTTCGCTCTGGGGGCTTAAAGATAGAAGTGCGCGCTCACGTTTTGGACTGTGACTTGTTAGATGGATGATTTCTCAATGGTATATCGGGGGTGGGAGCAACATACAGATTTGGGGCGCATAATAGTTAATCGCATTAGTTCCAGTCATCTGTTGGCAAATCATCAAGACGATAGAGATAATCGCGCGCTTGCGATTACCCGGAATGAGCCACATCTCTTTCATCAAGTCCCAGAAGCCGGATCCAGCGACAAGTGCGCGCTCCTGTTCCAATTGGGCGGCGATGGCCGCGAACTCTTCTTCCACGTATGGGTGGTCAGAGGGCAAATTGCGCACCTTGGAGAGAGTCGCACGGGCTTCTTCCCACCGGTCTTGCTTGGCCAACCAGCGGGGAGACTCGTTGCACATCAACATACCAAAGAATAGAAGCACGGCGGGGAGACCTTGCATCGCCAGTGGAACGAGGTACATTGCGGGGCCCTCGATATTGAGCAGCGCTCCGTAGTTGATCCAGAATGCGAGCATAATGCCCATTGTAATGAAGAGTTGGTATAGACCCGTTAGACCACCACGGATTGCACGTGGCGCATTCTCGGCGACGTAGAGGGGGTTTATCATAGATGCGGCGCCGACTCCGAAGCCAGTTATTAGTCTATAAGTTTGGGCGTTAGCCTGAAATGGTAGGTAAAGGACTAGATATAGGAATGTCTGTCATACCGTCCGATATACATGACTTCGATGTGACCGCTGGCGGCGGTTTGCATGAAAATCCCTAGTACAGCCACCACCGCTGCGCCGATTAGGGCCAATCGTCTACCCCATTTCTCGGCTATCGGTGAGGCAACTAGAGCTCCAAAGAAGCATCCTGCTTGGAGGGTGGATACGATATTGGCCGATAGATTTGCTGCTGCCACTTTGGAGATATTCTCCAGGCCGTATGTCCTACATCAATGACACTGGTCAGAATAGCTCGACGCAGGGAATAGATCGAAAAGAAACCCACTTCTTGAATCCTGGCATAGTTAGAACTCCGCCAATAATACCGGAGTCCATGCCAAAAAGCATTCCGCCGAAACAGGCCTGGGAAGAATTAGTCACGTAATTGTAGCATAATTGTCATTGCCATCGCCAAGGAGAAACTAACAGAACAAGCAAGCATAAAGACCCTCCACCCGTAGATCTCCTTCGGATCCTCTTTCATCGCCTCATTGTGAACGATCTTCTTTAAAAGCCACGACATCTTAGGTAGTAGTCAAAAGAGTTAAGCAAGATGATCGCAGTGACTCCAGTCAAGGAGGGGAGTGGCTAGTTTAAAAGTAATTCTCTGAGACCAGCTCACAAACGAAGCTAAACTATAGATGCCGTCGGCTATTGATATATGTATGAAGGAAGGAAAAAATACTACGACCTCAAGCCTATGAGAGGTTTAATTGCAAGCCCAGTTGTCTTGGCTGGCCACCAAGTGGCCTATGGGAAAAAAGCAGGGACACCAAACAAGGCGAGCAGAGATAGAGGAAAACATCCACGAATCCGAAGCAAGGGCAACACGGGCTGTGAGAATCTAATACTGCTCACATGTCTAGGATGTTTGGGGGGTTGGTGCAAGGGTCCAAGGGTCCAAGAGTACAATACACGGCTGATTCACGTGCAGCTCTCAGATAGGCGGGAGGCGTGTGGGGGTAAAATTACACGGTAGCAGATATGGGCTGATTTCCCGAGTATCGTGTGAGTCTTTAAGGTAAATATACGAGAATAGAGGTATCTTTAGCCGATAAAGAGAGAGTGTGTGTGTGAGGAGAACCTTGCAAGTTCGAGAAATCGGCTGTTGATCTTACCCCGGACTGCGGGGAAACCCCAAACTAGGGCTAATCCCAATCTAGTAAAACCTTCCATAATAGGATAAGCGTCCAGTTCCTTGTAACCTTACATTGTATGTTGCATAAAATGAACTCTAATCTATACTCTCCATTCTCTTCTGTAGCCACTCTGGAATAACTGGCTTCTTCTCCCAAGCTGCCTTCCAATCTCGTTGATGGTCTGGCACAGCACAAACTGCCGAAACGAACCAGCAGTCCTGCCCAGCTGCCAAGTCCACCGAAAGCGACGGCAATAGCGTGCGTCCGTGAATGATATTAGAATTCGGGTCAGCCAAGACAATCCGACCAGACCGTTCAATAGCCGAGTGGAGCTCGACAATGCCAACAGCTCCAGCCGATGAAACCACGAGTCCACTCCGGCTGTCATGCATTGTCCCCTCAGAATCATCCCCAGTCATAGGCCCCAAGGTACGGCCATTATCGCTGCGGCATCCGTAAATAGCAAAGGCACCTTCGGAGGTTTGCAAAGCCCGACCGGTGCGCACATGATGAGCGCGCATGTGCCAGTTCTCATTTTCCTCCGTCGGCGGGATGAGAATGGTCTCTATATCAACATCTGACCACGGTTTCCAACCAGACACGAGAATAGGGTGGCCATTGGGCTCGGGTTCCTCGAAACGCGCATCGAGCGCCAGCCGTCTGGTCTGCCAGATATCGCCGCCGTCGTCTGATAATGCAAGCATGCTGTCTGGAGCGTGCTGCTCCAGCTGGTAACCACCCGTCGGCACCGAGTATCCAAAGGCAGAACTGTATGCAAACTTGCCATACTTGGCCTGTGTCGCTTTGAGGGGATAGTGACATGCTTGGCCAGATGACAACAGGAACGAGTGTCCACCACGACGGATGGCAATATGCTTGGGGTATTTCAGGGCCACCACTTCGGGCAAAGAGGAACTTGGGTAGGGCTCCTCTTCCGCAGACCAGAAGGGATGCGCCTCCGGTAGTGCCAGTGGTGTGAACGAGAGACAGCACCAATACGGTGACCCGGGGGAATTGTAATTCTCCGTCAGGTACATGTTAGCGTACGAGTAGCCGAGACTCAAGGTGCCATCGTTGTTGAACATGTCATCCTGCGTAGACCACCACCGGAAATGGCGAAGGATAATTCCCCTCACCACGCCCCAGGTCAGTGGTTCCGGTAGTTCGACATCTGCGAAGCCTAATGCACCCCAGAATCCAACCATAGCAAATCGATAGGTCATAGACCGTCCGAATGGGATGGCACTGCCTAGTTGATAGTGGTTCTAGTCAGGACCAAGTCACATCCTAAAAGAAGAGAATCATATCAGACTCGCCAGAGACATACCGTTAGGATCAAAGTAATGCACAAAATCCTGAGCATACTCCCGTGCCCGTTGACGATAGCGCTCGGCACGCTCGGGATCAAAGTCACCCGCCAGCTTCGAATAAAGAAGCTGCAAGAACTGAATGGCAAATGATCCAGAGTAGTAATCCATCTGATGATGACTCTTAGGTCCATCATTGCTCCATCCTCCGCCAACATGGAAGGTATCCAAATGGTCCATGTCAGCCTCAATACGAGACAAAGAGTACTCGGCGCCATTCTTTCTGAGACCCAAGTTTGCGAAGACACGGAACCAAAGCCTACAATCGTCCCAACCATAATTAGCCGACCCATTTAATACACACCAACAAACGCCCATCCTGGGCAGACCAAGTCATAACATACCAATTCGTATTCGGCATCTCACGCGCATTAATACTCGCCAACCAACTACCAACATTCCCCCTCTGCTTCTCCGTCAATGGATCCCAAAAGACATGAGGCGCAACAGCGAGCGCAAACCCAATTGGACACATCTCCACCATGCGCTGATCCATATCCTCGATATGGCCCCAGAACTCCGGGTGTTCAGGATCAGTCCCATTAATAATTCCCTGACGCCAGCGCTCAGCCTCGGGGTATTCATATCCACCGCCCAGCAGCGAGGCTAGACCCCATAGCGGACGGGCGTATCCCTCGATCTGGGCGCCGCCTTCATCGAATCGTGTCGTCGACGTGCCTACTTTGACGCGTGTGCCACCTGCTGTAAAGAGTGGTACTAGCGGGTCGAGAATGGCACGGCATGCTTCTTGGAAATCAGATCTAGTGCGGAAGGGGGATTTGCTGAAAGCCTGTGAGGGGGTGCGGCCGTTAGCGTGGATAGACATCTTATGTCTGTAGGCCTGGAATTTATGAGTTTGCGCTGTTATGGTAGCTTTGGGTTGTTGATAGGGTGGTTGTGTGTTTTATAAAGATTGGCATTGGGTTAATCGTCCATTATGAGTTGTTTAATAGGCAGTTCATACAGGGGTCCGCGTATCAATGCTGACATATAGTAATACCTGGGACCATTTTGGTGCGAATGGGGACTCGCTGAGAATGCCGATTCAGCCAGTTAGATCCGTGCATATTGCTGGGGGAAGAATGGGGGTTCCTGGGGATGGCGTGGGGTTTGGATTTAGCCGGTCGACGTAACGTGGGGAGATCGGCAGTGACGAGAGACTAGTCTGTTCGAAATAGGCTGTGAGCATCTGATAAGTGGGGAAATTATCGTCCACCAATGAAGGATACAGGCAAAGCAGCCAATAATGTGGCTCTTGTCATATAGGATATCATGGTATTATTGTACATAGGGTCCAAGAGCATTCAATATCTATACACGCCACGAATCCCATGACATCAATGGAATTGGGGGATTAGCCCCCCAAAAGGCCACCCAAGAATCGGGCCAGCTCTTTCACAAGAGCATCATCGATTTCTTCGGTCTCACCAAGACCCTGCTTTAGGATCTCAGTCCATCGGGCCAAGGTAATCTCGTGCAGTTTTTGTCCGTTCAGGGCTAAATGGACGCGACTGGCTTGGTCAGATGCAGTCGACTCGTCAGGGGAGACAGAGATGTGGCTTTCGACGATAGCGCCATGCTGTAGACGGAGGAATGCACGAGTACTTGAAGGGAGCGAGGAGGGTAATGGCGGCCGTTCACGAGGGTCTTCCTCAATGGGGTGCGTTGAGAAAGTGAACCGCGGTGTTTGGGTGTACTTCCACTCCAACGAGCGCAACTCGGCAATTCCTTTCCCAATGGCGGGTACCTGCTCGCCCTGCACTTCTCCCACTGTACCAGCCACCCAAAAATCTCCAGCGAAGACTTCAGGCTCATTGGCATGAGCACGCTGGGCCCTGAGAACAGCATCGGGGTGTACCTCGTAGAGCCGAGCAAACTGCTCAATCACACTCTGAACCACGCTCTGCATGGAAAAGAACGAGTCGGCTAACGCAGCTGAGACATTCCCGACTGGCGAACGAACGCTTTCAACACCCTTGGCCTGTATATACGGGCGGGCGGATGATCGCAGGTACCGGCCAAGATCATGAATATTCGGGGAATCGAGCAAGCAGGTGCCGTGATGGAGGGCTCGGTGTCGGGTGAGCTTAAACGCAGAGCCAGAGACCTTGCGTGTCAGAGGCTCGTTGGGATCATTTTCCATTTCCTCTGCTCGCGCCATGACAATATCGTGCCGCTCGTTGACACTAGTGTTGGTAGCTCCGACCTGGTGAAGTGCGCGCACCACCATCTCGGCATGCTTATCACGCGTAAATGAGATACGCGGGCATATAACGCTGTAATTCAGGTTTCCTTCATCGTGGAAGACAGCCCCGCCACCTGATCGCCGACGGACAAATACTGCGGCTTCGTCTTCTCCAGTCGTGCCGTTCCTGCGGTCATTATGAAGTGCGCGGAGATCTGTCTCAAGCCATGGGTTCTGGTTGCGGCCAATAACTACACATGGTCGATTGGCGTAAAGGAATAAAATACTGGACTCTGCGGGGGCATTTTCTAGTAGGAAGTGCTCGATCGAAAGGTTCACGTAGGGATCTGTTGATAGCGATTGGTAGATCTGGTGTAAAGAGGAGGGACGGCTGGCGAGCTCGGCGAATTGGTGAGGGGGATAGGATGAATTATGACGGATCCAGCCATACTTCAATGGGTTATTCCAACGTGCCGAAGACGAGGAGCATCCTCGAAGGGCGAGCATTGGAGCAAGGGTGGGCGAATTTATCGATCGCATCACGCAAGTTATCAGGCCGATAGTCGGTTGCGCTAGTCCCAGATAGGAATCCAGCGATGACTCGAATTTCCATTTGCTTTTTTTCTACTGGCGATCAGCCAACACCTTTGTTCTCTCTTCCTATTTTACTCTTTGTATTGACCTCGGGGTATTTGAACTTATAAATTTCCTTTGATACCTTTCGACCATCTTCCAACGCCCATCATGTCGACGTGGGGTCAATATTTCCGTGTCACCACGTAAGTTGCCCACTCCCCACCACACACATCGCTGCTAACACCCACGATCAGCTATGGCGAGTCTCACTGCCGCTCCGTTGGCTGCATCGTCGACGGATGTCCTCCGGGCATGCAACTCACCGAGACCGACATCCAGCCTCAGATGACCCGTCGCCGTCCCGGCCAGAGCGCCCTCACTACCCCGCGGGACGAGAAGGACCGAGTCGAGATCCAGTCAGGCACCGAGTTCGGCGTGACTCTGGGCACACCAATTGCCATGGTCGTCCGCAATGAGGACCAGCGTCCCAAGGACTACGGTGGTAGCACAATGGACCTGTACCCCCGCCCTAGCCATGCCGACTTCACCTACCTTGAGAAGTACGGCGTCAAGGCCAGCAGCGGTGGTGGTCGCAGCAGCGCTCGTGAGACTATTGGTACGCTATGTGTAACCATCAACATCTACTCTCGCTAACCCAATTCCCACAGGCCGTGTCGCCGCCGGCGCCATCGCCGAGAAATTCCTCCGCCAAGCGCATAACATTGAAATTGTCGCCTTCGTCTCCTCCGTCGGCAACGAGCACCTCTTCCCCCCAACCCCCGAACACCCCTCTTCCTCCACCAACCCGGAGTTCCTTAGCCTGATTGATTCGATCAGCCGCGAAACCGTCGACTCCTTCGCGCCCATCCGCTGCCCGGAAACCGCCGCAGCTGAGCGCATGACCAAAGTCATCGAGAAGTACCGCGACAACCACGACAGCATCGGTGGAACCGTAACATGCGTGATCCGCAACGTGCCAGTTGGATTGGGCGAGCCCTGCTTCGACAAGCTTGAAGCCAAGCTCGGCCACGCGATGCTCAGCATTCCCGCAACTAAGGGCTTCGAGATCGGCTCCGGTTTCGGCGGCTGCGAGGTCCCCGGCTCAATCCACAACGACCCCTTCATTGTCAGCCAGAACGAGGCTGGCGGCCCCCGTCTCACTACCAAGACTAACAACTCTGGCGGTATCCAGGGTGGTATCTCCAACGGCGCGTCCATCTACTTCCGCGTCGCGTTCAAGCCCGCTGCTACTATCGGCCAGGCGCAGACCACTACTACTTACGACGGTGAGGAGGGTGTTCTGGAGGCTAAAGGTCGTCATGATCCTTGTGTCACCCCCCGTGCTGTCCCTATCGTTGAGGCTATGTCGTCGCTGGTTATCATGGACGCTCTCATGGCTCAGTATGCCCGTGAGGGTGCCAAGAACTTGCTTCCCCGGCTGCCTCAGACTATCCCTACTAAGCCTACTACCGCGCCTTCGTCGTAAACGGGAGGAATCTGACAAGTTATATTAAAAAATGTTATACGCAAGCGTCATTAAGAAGGATCATGTCTGTGTCTATATATATCTTTGAGGTATCATGGAGCTACAAAAGTTTTATAGATACCATTGTCATGCATTTACCAATCTCGGGAGAATCTACATCCTCGGCTTCTACGAAATAATGTACGAAATGTTTAAGAATCCAGGATTATCCATGGAAAAGTTGTTTGCACAATGCCTCTTACCACTTTCTCTCCGACGTCTACCTACCTAGAAAACCGATAAGTGATAAAATATCTTAAAATCTAAATAGCATACCTGAGAAGACCACCGGAAAGACCATTAAAAGACACATGGCCGCATAAGCTGGCAACTATTATTGTTGCAGTTACTTCCAAAGGTCCAATAAATCTCAAAGCAAGACATCAATTTTGAACTCGCTAACTAATCTAACAAGTGCCACTCTGTAGCGAAGAATCGTAAAAGATAGAGTAGACATCGATTCATCAGGACAATCATCTCATCTCGGAACGGCATAAAACATGGCTGTGGATATCAAAACGACAGAAAACAGCAGCCACCCACAACAAAACAGTGTGACAAAAAGTACAAGACTCCAAGCAAGGAAACATGAAACGGCAAATGAGCTCACACCGAAGCTGTGTACAAACGACGCAATTAAATGCAACACAACACACCTCTAGGTGTCTCTGATAGATGCAGACACCAAACCAGACTCACCCAACAAAAAGAAAAGAAAAATGCAAAAGTACAAGAAGGTAAAGAAGAAAAGAGAATGAGACAAGACAATTAGGAGAAGAGTAGAAACTCCCAGGTCTCAGATCTAGGTACTAACCCTCCTGTTCCCAGTACCCCAACTAACAGAGCGCTCAGACATGTTGTCAATATCGCCAGCGGTAGCATTAACAACACGGAGCTTCTCTCGAGGAACAGTAAAAGTCGTCTGGACTCGTCGGCCCTCAGCAGCACCTTCAAGGTCCCAATCATGGACATCTTCCTCATCATCGCCGAAGCCAGCTTCGTTGCCTAGGTATCCCGGCGCACCGACGAATATATCATCGCGCGTAGGCCGGGCAGTGTTGAATACATCGTCTGAGACTCGCTTGCGCGCGTTCCAATCTTTGGCACCCTGCTTGCGGCGGAATAGTTCTGCCGAAGCGCTGACTGCTCGGCGCGGCGTGCTGGGGACTGCTGAGGATCGTTGACCGGATCCGAGTATCGTGCTGCTGCGATCAATGCCGGAAGCGCGGTGCGCTGTGCTGGTGGTAGTAGCGCTAGAGTACAGCTGGCTGTCTGGGCTGCGGCGGCTCATTGTTAGGGCTCGGCGCATTGTGTTCATTACCCAGTCGGAGGCTTTTGGTTTGGATTCTCGGGGTAGTTTCGAGGGCGATGGGGGAGCTGTGTTGGAATCGATGGCGTCGAAGAGGAGAGACTCGTTCTCTGACTGGCGGTTGGACAGGTTTGTCTGGGCTGTAGAGTAGGAATCTGCTGAGACTGATTTCTCTGAGGGGGCTACGCCGTCCGGGTCGCTGTGTGTTGAGCCTACGGCGAGGTATTCCAGTGACGGGCGCCCACTGCCCCAGCTTGTAGGTCGATCGACGAGGACGGCTCGTGCTTGGTTGACCTTGCCTACAGGCTGGGAAGACGCAAAGGAGAAGGCTGAGTGGTCTGTCAGGTTGGTGGCTGTGTGTTCGCTTTTTGTCGGAGACTCGGCATCCGCAGATCCAATATCCTTTCGCCGGCTGTAGAAAGGACCCAGGCCAACGCCGAAGATGGTGCTCCGAGGAGTTGCGTAGGGGGTATCCGAGAAGGGGTCGTCGGGCTCCGTCGTCTTGGCCGTGGGTCTTGTTTCAGGTGGGATGGTTGCCATAAGATGTTCTCGGAACATCGCTTCATCTTCCTCACGTTCATCAATAGGATGGATATCACCAGTAGCATCACTGCGCCGGTATTCACTGTTTCGATATGAGAACGGCCTATTGTTCACTGGAGGTACCACAGGTGGTCGGTTATTCTTGGATGGACTAGTAGGGTCCATCAAAAGCCCAGTCCTCTCCGCCGTGCCTTCACCTTGATCTTTCCAGTCGGGCCGTGCTGTCTGGGTGCGATTTGCCGACCAAGGATACACGGGGCCATCCCTTCTTTCGCTCATTCCAGAACTCCGAATACTGCTTGCTTGGGTTGGACAATCTCGACCCCAAAAGTGAGATCGTTCTGCTCCTAAGGCAAGTTCCCGTAGCTGCGAGTCTCGCTTGCCCTTTACACGGCGCTTGCGGTGGTAGTTCCATCCACACAAAACGATGGCCATAGCAGCAGGGCAGCCAATGCCCAGTCCAACTCCTAAACCGGCCTTTTGGGATGATGAAAGCTTACTGGAACCGGGGGAAGTATTCGAGGGACTGGCTGCAGGATTGCTGTAAGAAGTGACCCAACTGCTCGAAGTCACGTTGTAAAGATAGACCCGCGAGTTGGACTGTGCAGTTGTTGAGGCCCGTTTCGAGGATGGTTTCGGGATATCGTAGCCCCCAGAAATCATCATCACGCCCCCGGGGAGCATTGCCGCTCCATGTCCGAAGATGCCCGCACCCTCGGCGATCCCGGGTCCTTCGAAAGAGGGTGCTGTCCAAATCCATTCGGCGGCTCCGCCAAACCCTTCTGCAAGCTCCAGAACTGCAAACTGTGGCTCAGCAGGAACAGTGATATCACCCACCCAACCTCCAAATACAAATACTTTATTTCCATCTTCCGAGAGAACCGCAGTGTGACCGGATCGAGGCTCAACAGAGACCGTATCCCGAACAGTCAACTCGGTCTCTGGTGTCGAATCCGAGATTGCAGAAACAAAGCTCCAGCTTTGCTGCGGCAGCGAGAAAATGGCAAGTTGCGACATGTTAAGGAACGCCTGCCTGGTATGACCACCAATGAACAAAAAGTCCTGTTGCTTCCCCGCAGAACCGGCTGAATATGTAGGCTGAAGCGGCACGACGGCCATTCCAGCTTCAGCGATGGGCGGTGCGCGCTTGCCAGTCGTCGCAGCGGTGTACTTGGTGTTGTAGTAGGGACTCGGCCCTAACACGACCGTCGACCGGGAGTAGTTAGCTGCCGAGACCCATGTTTCGTCTGTGCCGTTTGCGAATGGACACATCCCACCAAAAGCGTACATGGAGCTCTCATTTCCGCGGCGGGATGACGAATACGTGAACCCCGCCGCCAGGTAGTTCGGTGCGGTTTTAGCGTCGCTGCTGATAACTGGCAGTCTATCCCAAGTCCCATTGCCGACTAAGCTTTTGCTATTTGGGTAAAATTGCCATAGTACCGGGTTATCAGTTGCGTTGTGGCAGTTGCCCGAGTATACTGTGATGAGCCCTTGGTCATTGATGGCGGGGACAAAGCTCGAGTTCTGATCAGAGCTGTGGAACGGCGTGCTCTTCAGCAGCGTTTGACATGATAGATCCTCGACATCGATACTGCTGGACAGGTTGAGGGAGACGAACTCGGTTTCACCGGTGGAGCTGGGTCGGAGGATGTATGCGAGAGAGTCATTGTGTTGCGGGGAAAGGAAGATCGATGACGGAGTGTATGGGATTGCACTAGAGGGATCCACGAGTGCAAGAGCTGCAAGTAAGAGTGCCTTTGCCTTTGGCTTCATGGTTGCGATCTGAGACATCAGAAGCAGGGATACATTCCAGGATCGGCGAGCATGGCATGCCACGCGAAGATCTATTTTCGGACAGTGCAAGATATTAAATTTGACAGGTTTTAACGTCAGTGATGAAAAGGTAAACAGGGAAAGAGATATTAAAGGGTGTCATTGTAGAGCTTCAGTAAACAAGTGACGATTAAGAACCAAGGTCTCGCCGCCTCTCTATATTACCAGACCAATCACTAAGAGTCACCTACATTAAGCCGACCTTATTTGCTCGCGCTAAACAAAGAAAGAGGGAACTTAATAAATTGCCGAGAGCCAGATCAACGTGGGATGAACCTCGTTGCCTGGCAACGGTGGGTGATTGCGTGTTTTCATGTTTTCAAGGTACACTAATTGTGTATTCCCTATGCAACGCATAGTACATTTCAAGCCATATCCATCAGGCAGTAGCATAAAACCTGATTTCCTTGATTTTTTAAATTGCATTGGTTAGCTTGGCTTTAAATCTTGGAATCCTTCTGACGTTATCGAGATTCTCCATGTGGGCCTTGAAGAGAGCGGGTATCAGATTTGTCTTAGCACTTTGACCTAAACTGACATGACATACATGAACATAAATTGATATAAATTGATATAAATTGACCAATGCGCCTCTAAATGTTCTCTTTCTCTACAATATACGGAGTACATATGTACAACATAGCGTTTTCATGTCAAGAGCAAAGGCTCTTGATGCGATACCCTGGCATCCTGGCACCATGGATCCCTCGGCTTACCCCTAATGTTGGCAGGACAACCGAGCTAACATCTGGCTTCTTTGTGTAGCCAGTTCGCATATGTGAAAATGGGCTGTTTGTCTAGTTTTTTCTATTGAGAGGACTAAAATTCTATAGGCCAAGTGTGAGCATGGAGTAGATGCCTGTCTGACTATGGGAGGTCCACTCTACGCATAGACTATGTTTTACAGTCCCAATAGCTAACAATGTAAGCAAATAATTATCCCGCTTATTGAAGGCAACTAAAACGGGACCTGTGCATGGAGGCCCAGCGGTTACCATCGTCAGTCATCGGCTTCCGGTGGTGCCGAGTCTTAGCACGAGAAATAAGAGGCGAGAGGCGAAGGAAAAAGCAAACATTGGAAAAACTTCGGCCAGTCGATCTTCACACAAATATCTGATACTTTGTGATCGTGTACTTTGCCTTCATTCGGACTATAAACGAGGTTCCAAGACAAAAGAATCGCCACTGGAGTATTCAATCACATGGGGAAATCAGGGAATCTAAGGTATAGAACTATCCCAGCTTACTATTAAAATACCAAACACTTTTTAAT